ATAGCGGTCTCTCGGGTCAGGTAGGGTCGGGTCGGTGTTGGTCCTTTCCGTCAGCCTATTGTACGCCAAATATGCAAATGAAAGTCTCATTGCGTTAGTACATATGGATATGTTTGTATATACATATGTAAATATATGTACATGTACGAAAGCATCCATAGGTATACAAGTGTAGGTGTGAGCTAATCATGGCCTTTTACAATTATTTTGTAATATTTGATATTGAAAAAACATAGTCGTATGTCCACACATTGAACATACATATATGTACATACATATGTACATACATAGATATTCCCGGTACTCGAACAGGTTAAAAGCATTACGAATGGGAATATTAGAAAACCATAAAACCGCAGCATTGATTGCGGAATCAGTTCAGATAATATAATTATTATTGTCAGAATGAAGAAATTATTTAATTAATTAGATGACATATGAATGTAAGGGCATATGTATATTTACATACATATGTATTTATGGATGTATTTACATATGTGGAATACATATACAGACGGAAGTAAGGGATATAAAAGTAGAGACTAAAGGTGCTTCCCACCAAGTCATCTCCTCGTTTTGAAATAATTACATTTTTTAACTTTTTTGGTGGATTTGATTTTGAATATGAAATTGATGGCACTTCGATCGGTAAACTTATCTTAAGCACTGGCAGGCGATCGGTAACGACTAAGCATCCATTCTTTCGTTTTCTTTCAATTTGTAAAGTGGAAAGCAGCCTTTTTTTGAACACACCCCCGTTGGATTCCACCACCGGAGTATTGTGGTGGTCATGTTGGTCCTTTCGAGTTCAGTTCAACCAAATTCATTTTTAATGCCGGCACGTGCGTGTGCCGCAGCATTAAGGCTACTGCCGAAGGCTCGTAAACAATGCTGGCCGCAGTCAATAGAATTGAGCAGAAGCCGCATGTCTTTGGAGTGCTTAGGACTTAGGACCCCAATTGAAAATTCATTATTGCGCGAGCCGCTTTCTTTTTATGTGTTGTTTTTCGTGGTGTGCTGTTTTGTGGTGCTTAAAAAAGGAAAGAATAATATTTATTGTATGCACCTTGATACACACACACTAACACCCAAACCAATCAACCACGTGCCTACTTAGTGGAATCAAACTCAATTGCCGTCCAGGGAGGGACACGGACACCGACCGTTACGCCTCGACCAGCGGCGGGTATCGAGCCGCGCTCCCGTAATTTACTACAAGTGTACGTACAATATACATACATATGTATAGACATCTACACATACACACAAACTTACTAATCGGAAGGATAAGGTATGAAAAATTGAGCTTCGAATGATAAATGGCCCAAACGAATGGGATCAATTCGAAAATCATTTTAAAATAGCGAACAAGCCAATAGAGTAATATTCTATCATTGGTGAGTCTATGAAGTATCTGTGTTTTGTGGATATACATAGCTACGCGTTCACTTAGGTACATAAATACAGCTGTGTGCAATGAAATAGTAGTGCCGCACCTCCCCACTTTCAAAACTATTTTGAAGACATTTTCAATCATCAAAATTTACCAAGTGATAACTTTTTAGAAAGACTGAAATGTACACATTACGAACCAGAAGGAGTTCTAGAACAATTGCATTCCATCATCTTGTTTTATTTGCCTTTACAAAAATACTAATGAAAAGTGCTGTTCAATGAAATATTAGTGCATTTAAAAAAAAAAAAAAACCGAAACTCAAGTTAGTACCCATCTTTCATGCTCTACATGTTTCTTGAGGTTTAATATTTAGTTTTTTTTATCAATTTTGATTTAGTTACTTTCTGGAAGGGATTAATAAGGTCCTGTCCAAGCTTCAATAGGATTTTAGCCAATAATTGCTTAAAAACTGGCTCTCTCTTTGCTCTCGTTGCCGAAATTTCATTCCCCCATAAGATTTTGAAAACATTCAGATCCAGGGACTGATTTGAACAAGGAAAAACGCCGATCTTTTCAGGTGAAGCCCAATTTTTGGCGAGCGTTCTGAAGTATTTCGGATCATTATCTTGTTGAAAGATCCTTTTTACAAGTGTTTTTCAACTGGAATATGAATGTAATGTATGAAAAAGTATGCTGGCCAACACAATTTTGTGAAATGCTCAAACTAAGAGCCTATTAAGTACCATTCTCATTCTGATCTGATGTCTGGGAACGCCAAACATATTCTCTTGGTTATTTTTTACGTGTGTCGAACATAATGTTAGATCGCCGACTATTATTACTACCTATGTTCACACATAAGTATGTACAAACATATATATACATACATATCTACATATGTACATACTTACAAAGTTACATAAATATGTACCCATATTCGCAGTTCTTTTCATCAGTGCCTGTTGGTATTCTGGCGGGGTAAGGGAATTTCCCTATGACTTAGCAACTCAACTCAAATTCTTACTAGTGAATTGATAATAAACAAAACATACATATGTACATATGTATGTACATACATACATACTCTCACATCCGGGTCCCAAGGGTGACGGAGTGGCTATAAATACGCGTATGCATATGTACATATATTTGTATTTGGACATGACTGTTATTGTTTCGCTCATTTATATGTTAGTATGTTTGGGCACACACCATAACTAATTTATTTATTTATTTGTTTCGTTATTTTCGGTGTTCTGTCACTGGTGGGCCCCACTGCTCACGCATCAATTCAAACCTACCAACAACAACCCCCCCCACCGCCACACCAAATCCAAACCCCCCCCCCCCCCCCCCCCCCCCCCCCCCCACC